AACCTCCAACTCCTGGGCTCAAGTGAGTCTCCTGCCTCCGCCTCCCAAGTAGCTGGGACTACAGGCGCCCGCCACAACACCCGGCTCTTTTTTGGTTGCAGCCGTCATTGTTGTTTGGCAGGTCTGGGCTGCGGATTCGAACCCGCCACCTTAGGTATATGTGGCTGGCGCCTTAGCCGGTTGAGCTATAGGCGCCAAGCCCCCTCTCTGACTTTGTATTAAGATAACTTTGGTGAATAGCAGGATACTCACATACTTCACCTCTGACAGAACTGTTTGTGATTTTCTGTCTGGATTTTTATTTTATTTTATGTTGAGACAAAGTGCTATTGTGTCATAGCTCACAGCAATCTCAAACTCTTGGACAGGCTGCAATACAATACTCACTGTAACCTTGAACTCTTGGGATCAAATGATCCTCCTGTCTCACCCTCTTGAATAGGAGTACAGAGACACCACCATGTCTGGCTAAATTATTTTGCAGAGACAAGAGTCTTGCTACATTGCTGGGGCTAGTCTTTAACTCTTGGCCTCAAGCAATCCTACCTAGGCCTTCTAAAGCACTGGGATTACAGGCATGAGCCATCTAATTTGATGGCTCAATGTTGATTACTTTTAATCCTTTGGTCGTGCTTGCTTTCAGAGTTAAAGTTCTTATCCGACTGCTGAAGGACTTGAGGATTCGTTTTCCTGGCTTTGAGCCCCTCACACCCTGGATCCTTGACCTACTGGTAAGTAAAGAGGGACACTTGGAGTTCCTGATAATCTCTGTTTAGCAGTAGTTACTCATTTTGTTTTGGAGACAGAGGCCTACTGTGTTGTTCTGTGTAGAGTGCTATGGCATCATCATAGCTCATACCAACCTCAAACTCGGGCTTGGGCAGTCCTCTTGCCTCAGCCTGTCAAGTAGTGGAACTGCAGGTACCCACCACTAATTTATTTTCTATTTTTAGTAGAGATGGGGGTCTCACTCTTCTTTCTCTTTCTTTTTTTTTTTTTTTTTTTTTTTTTTTTGAGACAGACTCTCAAGCTGTCACTCTTGGTAAAGTGCTCTGGCTTCATAGTTCACAGCACTCTCCAACTTGGGTTCAAGCAGTCCTCTTGCCTCAGTTTTCTTATTTTTATTAGAGACTGGGTCTTGCTTTTTGCTCAGGCTGGTCTCGAACTACTCAAGCAGTCTACCCACCTTGGCCTCCCAGAGTGCTAGGATTACAGGCATGAGCCACTGAACATCACCTAGCAATAGTTGCTCTGAAATCTATCAGAATCTGAAACTAGTGAAACTTAAAAAAAATTTTTTTCTTTTTGTGACAGAGTCTCACTTTGTTACCTTTGGTAGAGTGTGGTAGTGTCATAGCTCACAGTAACCTCAAATTCTTGGGCTTAAGTGATTCTGTTACCTCAGCCTCCCACATAGCTGGGGCTACAGGCACTTGCCACAGCACCCGGCTATTTTTAGAAGTGGGGGTCTTGCTCTTGCTTAGGCTGGTCTTGAATCTGTAAGCTCAGGCAATTCACCTGCCTTGGCCTCCTGAACTGTTTTTTTTTTTTTTGGAGACAGAGCCTAAAGCTGTCCCCCTGGGTAGAGTGCTATGGCATCACAGCTCACAGCAACCTCCAACTCCTGGTCTCAAGCGATTCTCTTGCCTCAGCCTCCCAAGTACCTGGGACTACAGGTGCCTGCCATAACACAGGCTGGATTTAAATCCACCAGCTCAGGTGTATGTGGCTGGTGCCTTAGCCACTTGAGCCACAGGCCCTGAGCCTGAAGTTTGGGGGTTTTTTTGTTTGTTTGTTCTGTTTTTTTTGAGACAGCGCCTCAAGCTGTCTGCCTGGGTAGAGTGCTGTGACATCACAGCTCACAGCAACCTCCAACTCCTGGGCTTAAGTGAGTCTCCTGCCTCAACCTCCCAAGTAGCTGGGACTACAGGC